CAGATACTGGACAGCTGCAGTGTGTTATTCACTCTCAGCCCATCCACTCTGTTAAGGTGAGAGGTTAATGCCTCAAGTGATCAGTCAGACTTTTTCCAGCACCACCTGTGGCCAGAAAAAGAGAAAATGAGATGATCCAGGCAACATAAAAGAGATTCATGTAAGCGGAAACCAAATGATCTTTTCTGTACTTTCTTAATGGATTCTGTGTTGTCAGAGCATTATGTTAGCAGGTTTGATGTTTGGAGCCAGACTGGGCTGCAGAAGAATGAAAGTATAGGGGTGGTTACTGCCCAAGCAAACTCTATAAGGCTCAGGGAGCAGGAAATATAAAAGCTCCCCCTCCCACTTGGTGCCCAACCATGTGGTCATAACAGAGTCCTAGTACCATAGTTTCCTATTACCTAGTATAAATGCAACAAAGAAGAGGGCCATAGGCTTCTCCACTTGCTAGATGTGTTACTTTTGTGATTTAACTTTTTCTGAGCCCCAGTTTGCTCATCTAGAGTATGGTAGTGATAAATACCGCAGATAGGGTTGTTATAACATTAAATGAGGTAATATATGTAAATCACTCAGCACAGTGCCTAGCACTTGGGAGACAGTCAACAGATAATAACTATGATTAGATTATTCCTAGTTAGGGAATATCATCAGGGGGCTACATTTGCATAAAACACTGCCTTTACACACAATACCCATTTCCAACTCCTTTAAACTTGGTTGGGGGCATCCACACTACTGATTTTGGGGCGATAACTTGATGCTTTACAGGTAATTCCTTTTGGAGTCAAGTCTGTTTGGGAAAGTGAAAAGATAGGAGAACAAATGAGGGTCACAGATAAGGGAGAATTCTGTGCCAGCAAATATTTCTTATTTCAGTAGGGCTAAAAAGTAGTGTTGTTTGGAGGTCTAGAATTTCTGATATAATGGAAGCCTTATGTTCTAGTTCCATTAGAATAACCAGATCATCACTCCCTGCTCTCCAAAAGGTATTGAGAATCTTGGCCACGCCAGGGTGAGCAGATTTTACAGTCTACGAATTTGTGCTTAGTTCATGGTATTTCTTTATGCTGCTCCAACAAAAATGTATCGAGAACCTACTATGTAGCAATTACTGAGCCTGCCAATTTCACATACATGAACTGATTAAATCATTTATTTCTCACATCAACCCTGTGAAGACAGTTATCACCCCTATATTATGGATGAGAATGTTGAGGCTCTGCCCTGTTAAGTGCTTTGCCCAGGTAACACAGTCAGCCAGTAAATAGCCAAGCTTGATTTTGAACCCATTACTTTGCAGATTTTTAATATTTTAAATAGTTTGTGTTACACATAATTTTATTAAACAGGCATGGCAATCAAGTCACAAAAGCACCCCAGAAGTTCACAATGGGAAGTTACAGGTAAGTAAAATTAAGTTACTTAACACATCTCTACTTAATCTAGGTAAAAAGGGAAGTTTGATTTTTTTAAGTAAAATTCCACATCACAGCATGCTTTAGGTTGATAAGTGAGTACCGAACTCCAGCAAGTGGAGATGTTGACAAGGCAGAATTGCACTTCAGTAGCCTAGATCCACATTTGGGTTGTTTTACAGCAAGCTTTTGTTTCAGTAGTGGTGAGAGGCAAGATGCAAGGCGGTAAGCCTTGGCTTTCTTTGGAACATACTTGAACAGGGTAATCAATTGGACATGACCATTTCACTGCTTGTAAATTTGATTTTACTGCAAAGCTTGAGAATGAAGAGTATACAGAGAAAGACAGAAAGCTAAATCTAGGCCAGAGCGACAAGACTTCCCCCTTGGTAGATAGTGCCATTTATTTGGTTAGTTTTCCTATCTGTCGTGACTGACCTAGTCTTTTCCTAGTAGGTTATTTTCTGTGTATGTATGTATGTATGTATATATATATATATATGTGTGTGTGTGTGTGTGTGTGTGTATGTATATGTGTATATATATATTAGGTACCAAGCAGACATTATGCCTTTCTGCTTTGTACTGTACTACTGCTGCTAGCTAATAACCAGCAAAATGTAGAAAATGCAAAATGGTAAAACTAATTTTCTGTAGACAACTTGGAGAAAAGTGTGCTTGCCCCTTACTTAGGGGGTAGAGAACTGACTATTTCAACAATTTGCCTTTTCTGAAGGCCGACTGCTTCTATCCCTGTGCTGCTGCAGCATGGGGCTAGTTGTGTCACTGCACGTGTGGCGCTTTCAGCTCTGCCTGTGGAGCTGGCCTGGCCTCAGATCATCCCCTGTGAATGGCTGTCGGAGCAGTGAAGCTCCTGAGGCTGGTTCACAGCACCCAAAGATCTCTTACTGTCAACAGATTGCTTACCGTTGATGGACTGGAATCCACTGGGGACTGTGTTCCCCCATGCCTACTCCATTTCCAAGATGAGAGTTTTATTCAAGGACTCATTGCTTGAGTTCCCAACATATTGACTTTGCATCCATTTCCATTTACCAAGGCAGAATCATAGCAGAGGTGTGTCATAAAGATGCAAATGGAAGGCAGCCCAAATAATGGAAAAGGACAGATTTTTCAGCCCATTTTTGGGCTTGTGGAATGAAGTTTTGATTTATAATTGAAGACAGTTCTGAAAAGCAGCCGGCTGCATGGGCTGCAATTTGTGGCCCTTCCTGAGTGCAGAGAGAAAGAAGGAAAAGGAGCCATGTAAAATGTACACATTTAGTTCCTCCTAGAATGATAAATCCCAATGTTCAGCTATTTAATAATCTGGGTTGTGCACATCCAGAGGTGAAATGAAGGCATTTTCACTTACAAATGGGTATTTTCAAATGCTCTAAGTTAACCCTGAGAGAGAAGTGCCTGTAATCTCTGTTCCTAATGTCATTCTAAAGCTTTTGCTTCATGACTCTGTAGCTGTTTAAAAATTTGTTGCAGCAAATGTGATTAACAGAAGTTTACAAAGCAACATTGTAGCTTATGCATCGTTTTAAAAGTTGTTTAATGTTTATCTATTGTCAAAGCAACAACAATAAACAACAACAAAATAAAAGGAGAGCAAATAGGTCAATGTGGCATCATAGGCTTATCTTAGATAAACTAGTTCCATCATTTTATGCAGTCCTCAGTAATGCCAGGATTAAACTATCAAGCAAGCCATGTAAACAGTGGCAAATGTGTCTCTCTTTGTTATTCCAGTTGTTTGTTAAGCAGCCATTTTACTCTTACACTGTAATGAACCGAAAGGAGAATTAAGATAATGCTTCCCCCACCCATATTGCTATTCAACTACCTCTATATGCTTGATTTCTCTTAAAGGTTTTCTTTCCTCCAAATCTGTATAAAAAAAGTTTCAGCTCATCTATGTTGTAATAACAATGTAATATAGACAGTCTCTGTGAAAGCTGTTTGTTCATTAAAAAATGTTTCCTATTGTCTCACTTTGTATCTAACAAAATTCTACCCATAACCTTAGGGCAAGAATTACCCAAATAACTTTAGTATCATTTTGTTGGAAGCTGAAGAGAAAGGAAAGCTATCGGAACATCCATTTTGTTCTTGTTCCTATTGGTTGTAACACATTTGACCAGTAGATCTTTCAAGGAAAGAGACCTGCACTTAGACAGTGCAGGTCTTTTATGTATGTGACAATATGTATGTGACAGTGAGGCAGGTGTGAACTGATTAATGTGACGGATATGTTCTGAAAACCTGGCCATAAGTTAATTGTTGGAAAAATGCACCAGAAAAGCTTGTTATTTAAAGAATTATGTTGAAGCATTTTGCCAATAATCCGCCCCTAGTTTATTTGTAAATCCATTCATATGTTGGGTTTGCATAAAGCAGAACACACTACCTAGTCTGTTTTCTTTGGCATTATAAAATGTTCATGAAAGCAAATTACATGTTTTTATTTCAGTTAAACCATTTCTCAACAATAGGCTAAAGCTAAGGCCCAAAGTGTGAACCTTTTGACAGGAAATTGGTAAAATGGACTGGGACAATGAGCAATATTGACTGAGCTGACTCCAGCAAGAGAGCTTCAGCAACATCACCTCTTCTTTATGGTACTGATTTTAGTCTCGTGCCATTGATGACGTCATACAAGTTGTATTTTACCATTGAAGAGAAAAAGACATATGTAGTGGGACAATTGAAAAAATGAAATGATAAAAAATTCCACTTGGCCTGACCTTGTTCATTGTAACAGGGTCTTTTGGGTAATTGAGAAAAATCAGAACTCCTGTCCAGCTAGGCCCCAGAGGAAATGCTTGGCTCTGCCCTTCTGTGCCTGGTCTGCCACTCTCTGGTTCTCATGAGATGAGTACACTCTGGCCAAAGGCACAATCCTCCCTATAAAGCAGTTGTCCCCTAGGCCTTGAGAAAAGCCAAAGCCAACGCTTGCTGCTTCCTCTCTGGGATCCACTCTGGCTCCTTTGAGTCCTCCAGGATCAAAGATGCCTCCCTAGAAGGAACTCCCAGTCTCAAGCTGAGATAGGAGCAAGAAAGGGAAGGAAAAATGCCGTAGACCCACAGGATCCCAGATGTTTAAACTTTCTCTTCTTCTCTTATGTTTTATGAGTTCTTCACTCCCAGGAG